AAAATCGTACCGCTGGATTGCCTCCACAACCCTACAGTTATTCAGAGGCGCTGGATCAGCGCTCGCGGTCAGTCTACACTTCGCTGGACACTGCGATTTCGCCTTCACTACATACGGTGGTACAATCTCCAGCTAGGGAATTTCCCCGGCAAAGCATCATAGAATCATACCGTCCTTCTCATGGAAAAAACTGACATCCAGACACCAGAAAGGATGGTATTGAGTCATTGACTCACTAATAGTGAGTCACTATAGTGTTGACAACCCTATTGACTGGTGCCGGGCCGGCATTGCCTTCGGCATTCCCGACGCGTGTACGTGCTATACGAGCACGCATGCGCTCCATGTTCCTAGTAGAAAGCGAGAACTCCATCTGGGGGAGTTTCGAAAGCGACCGCCAAGGTTGAGATCGAAAGGCGCAGATTCGATCCCCAGGCCCAGCATTATGAGTGCAGATTCAACTTCTCAATTGTGCCAGAATGTCCTGTGGCTAGTAACTTTCAAGATGCGTTATTTCCTCCCAGGTAGACTATTCGCGTTCAGCTGTCTACGAACCGTCTCATTTTACAATGACTGAATCAAACAACAGTAATCTAGCTCCTGACTCGAACATATCAGTTCCAGTCGTGGAAGAGGGTAGTGGCAAGCCCACTGTGGAGAGCACGACGGAGGTCTCGTCGCCAGTGAAACCTGATGCAAAATCTGATGCAAAATCTGGGAGTACGGCGACTGGCGCTGTCGAAGCTACTTCCACGGAGATGAAAGACGAGGTATCAAATGAAGGAGATCATAGACGTGAGCAGCGTCCACGAGTGAGTCTGGTCGTTCCTGACGCGACTGGTGGCTCTGATGTGTCGACTCACAAGCCGTTGAAGCATCCCAACCGTCTCATGCCCAAAGGTAGTGGCGTTGATTATATCATCCATCGATCTGATAGCTTTCCCTCAGGTCTCTCTACGCTAGGCGATGAGATGCCTCAATATACCAGGAGCGTAACCACAGCTAGTGGCTCACAGAGTGGGTGGAATGCTACTAAGAGGGGATGGAATGCTAAGAAGGTAGTCCATGTTGGAGATTGGTGTCCGTGTGGTCACTTTGGTGTTCTTAGGATCGCTCCAAAATTCTCGGCCGAGCAATGACTCATCAGGTCGGCTCTAACTACGACAGAGAGCTCCATTGGCTCAAGCCGTAATGATGCCTGCCTGTCGGTTGCTTGGTCAGAGTGGTGGTGCAGGTATTATCCTTCTGGAAAGGGCGAAAACGACATTGAGGAGGAGGAGAGTTGGATCCCTGATTGGGTTATGTATTTCCCATCTA